GTATCATGAATTTATTAACTTTTAACAATGGCAACATACAGTGTGAGCACAGTTACCCTGTGTCATAAATCAATATACAGAGTCGAAATATAGTTACATAGATTGTGTGTAGACAAAAGTTGACTCGTGAATTCTACAACTTAGAAGGATTCTATTAAATTTGTTAATACGGGTAGATCGTTCTGGAAGAATTAACGGTAATCAGATGATTCCGAGTGCCTTTAATAAGGTGGAAAAGTTCGCTGGTAAGACGTGAAGCGCTTTTAAAACTCTTTCTATCGATCGACACGCATGCACAGGGGATGCAGTGCTTGCTGGCACGTGCTACGAAAGAGTACTCATCTTCAGTATATTCCCACGAGAGGGCAACGAGCATTCAGGATTACGAAAAGTCCTCTTTCAACTATCAGATTCGTTTTCCATTCGTTTATGCAAGAACGAGTCGTTTCGCTATTAATAGCGAGAATTTTGTATTCATTGACGGTTGCATTCTCATTACCTTTACAATGCTAACGCTATATTTAGCGTATACAATATGCTAGGAATAATGCCATACTATTCGCTATACTATGCTGCATAGAAATTTTCTGGATGGTAGGGGGTGGCATTGCCGTAAGATTCCGGTTTTAAGCTACGCAACAAAACAATCTCCTTTCAGCTATAATAATCAATATTCCCTGTTTAATAGCGAAGCTCAGGATATGTTCTAAATTCCAGGATTGTGAGCTATCCTATTTCTCAGCAAGATTTGTATTATCGCTTTATAGCTTAAATCCTCGAATTTTGTGGAATCAGTTCACACAATTTTTAATTCTATTACGAAAAGAACTTCGTGCATTTTTAATACGTCAAACAATAATAAAAATGTAACATTTCTTACATTGTAAAAAAAAAAAAATTAACTTCAAATTCTAACAATAATCCTCGGATTTTGTAGAATCAGTTCTCTCAATTTTTAATTCTATTACGAAAAGAACTTCGTGCATTTTTAATACATTAAACAATAATAAAAATGTAACATTTGTTACATTTTAAACAAAAATTAACTTTAACGTCTAACAATAATAAAAATTTATCGATGAGTTTAAGAGAAAGTTCATGTAAGCAGTTCTTATAAATTCGTGCTGATTACAAAGAAATATCAAATATGCTAAGCTTATGTGTTAAATTGTTTGGTGATGGGGTAGCTAGAATTTGTTAGAGTATTTATAGGCAATTTTTGTTGTATTCAATTTATGGACAAGAATGAACGGTTACTCCATTATTGCTCGAAACTTTAACAGACCCTATAATCTACTGCGTTAGTTGCTGTCAGCCCCACGTGTTCCATGGAATTCGCAAAATTCACGGAACGTCTGGCCGAAAACTTAAGCTGTTATCTTCGGCGGTTCGTTAGAACAGAAATTAGCGCCAGCTAATTTCCAAGCTAAAATAAACGCGATGCAGATGATCGTGGCAAAGAAGAGAGGAAATTTCGAGAGCAGAAACGTCATACGAACGGTCGAGCCCATGGCCGTGAGTGGCTGGTCGCATAACCGCGGCAAAAGAGCCCCGCCAGAGCTGAAATTATTGCGTTTTCTTGGACACCGTCCAAACACCGACAACTAAAAGCCCAGTCTGATTATTGCAACACATCCTATACTGGCCTACATCGATATGACAATGATACGCCGAACTCGTCGATCGAACGATGCCGTCAACGACTTCCTCGTTCTTCGGATACGTTAACGTAACGTACAACCGACGAATGATAAGTGGACGTTTGTAAATAGAAATCCACCGATTGATCGACTTTAATAACGACCTCATACTACGGTACGGTGAACTTCTACCATTGATGTAACCGAGTATGGACTGGGGTGCGCCTGGACCATATAGAACATGCTCAGATTCCACGTGACGCGAGGGGTGGGAGAATACTGCTATCTTTCCAATACTAATTTCGGAATTTACTTTTCTACATAGCTATATTTTTTAATTTCGACATCTACATCCTCGAATTTAGAAATTTTCAAGTATATAATTTGCAAAATTTCTACAGCTCCAAATATCTCATTTGCAAAATTTCCAAATCCCCTGCTCCTACGTTTTCAAATTTTCAAGCTCCCAAATTTTCATACTCCCAGTTCTCAAATTTCCAAATTTCCAAGCCCCCAAATTTTTAAATCTCCAATTCCCAAATTACTAAATTTTCAAGCTCCAAAATTTTCATATCCCAATTCCCAAATTTCCAAATTTCAAAGCTCCAAAATTTTCAAATCACTTATTCCCAAATTTCCAAATTTCCAAGCTCCCAAATTTTCATACCCCAATTCCTAATTTTCCAATTTTCCAAGCTCCCAAGTTTTCATATCCCAATTCCCAAATTTCCAAATTTCTAAGCTTCCAAATTTTCATGTCCTAATCCCTAAATTTCCAAATATCCAAATCCTCAAACTCCCAAATCCCTAAATCCTTAAACCTCTAATCCACAAATCCAAAATTACTCTAAAACACAAATTGCAAAATTTGTAAAAGACCATCTAAAATTGTGAAATTTACAAAGCTAGGTCATTACGTGATACCGGGGCGTTGACACTAATAGTAAAAGAGGCCATCTGTCCCACCCCGAACAACAACCTAGTTACCCCAATGTCTGTCACGTTGATGAAACGGCACACCATAGGCGTAGTGAAACCGTACACGTGGTTGCAATTCCAACAAGTATCAGGATCATTGCAACCCTTTAATAATCCCGACCGAGGTTACATTGAACGTAATCTTGAGTTGGCCGTAAACACGCGACCTCTCTCGATTAGCCGTATAATTCAAGGTCGAACGTTGTGCGCAACTCGCGGTCGAACTAGAGAAACTAACAATAACAACGAGCTCACGAATCCCTTTTCCTCGTTAGCACATACATAGTATCGACGAATAGAACGTTCCCTCTGGACACATTACACGTTCTGAATAAGAGAGCAAAAATAATCGTTCGTGTGAAACTCGATAGAATTCGATGTCGAACGAGAACGATTTAAAGAGGCATGCGAGTGACAGTCAGATGACAGCTGACCGAGTGACCCGTACGTAACCGCCCCTCCCTCGCCCTCGACGATTCGTGGATTTTACAGCTCCGAATCGACGAGTTCTGAAGGGTTTTCTTTCGATGTAAAATACGGAGAGCTTACCACCTTGCTTACGAACTGGCATTCTGCTCGGTGTCGGGTAAATCCTGGTACAGCTACGACGAGGCACAGTGTTGCAGCGGGCTAAGGGGTTGACACGACGTGAGAGAGAGAGAACGTGAACACACGACACACACTAGTTCACGGAGAAGGATGAAGAAACGGAAAAGAGAGTAGCACAAAAGCACGCAGTGTCACTCCACGATACTACACGAACGCGCACTATTTGTCACGCGAATCGACGACCTGTTTCACGGCTGGCGTAGACAGACTCGTACGCGGCTCGACACGTCACTCGCGAAACCTCCCGGTGGCCCGTCGAAACGTGGTAAAACGAAACGGATATAAACACAGACCGCCACCACTCGGCCACGGGCAATATGGCGTCGCGCTTACTCTAGCAGCCGGAAAACTGACTAGCCGCGAGGAACGCCACCTCCGATTGGTCGATCGCACCATGCGTGACGTCAGATCGCCTCGTAAGGGTGCGTTTGAATTCGGCGCGCGAATGCTCGTTCAAATTTCGACGCTCAACGAACATTCTTTCGCTACGATTGATCGCTGACACAAACGAATGCTCTTAGAACGCTAGACGAGTCTAATTAATTCGATATGATTCTAGCTATATCTACAACGTTTTGTACACGATTCTGATTCGACATTTTTCGACTCGACATCATTTAATTCAATTCGATTTAGCATAATACTAATTCATAAGCATAATACAATTCAATTTGATTCAGTATAATGCAATTCAATTTAATTTGATTCAAATCAACAGCAATTGAACAGCGTGATAATAGATAAGATCGCATTATGCAAAATTTATTCATGGGGTTAATCAATGAGGTTACGTCATACGACCCCTGAACTCCTTCCTTGTCAGAAGTTCTATGTATACTAATTCGTGTCTGATACAGCACTTGCGAGACACAATGTTTCACACTAATACACCACTCAAATACAAATTTCCTCTAAATTAACTAATAAGGTTAACCGTCTACAAAATATTGTCATTTTATCTATGATCAAAAATACTTACAATTGAAGATAAGAATTCAAAGCGTTTCAATTAAATTTCTCATTCAGCAATTCGCTCAATGAGTTTATATTAAACAAACAACGACGAATGTTCTTGCTCTTGCTCGTTTAGTTTAAACGCACCCTAATACGCTCCACCGTAAAACCAACCCCCGAAACTCACACGACATGCACGATATAAGTACATGTGCGCGACACAGAAAATATGAAGATGATACTTGAATGTAACAATTCTATTATTCTATTTCACCTTTTATTCTATTTTCGAATCTGTTTAAAATATATGTTGGTTTATCAATAATGCAAATAATATTTGAATATCGACAGTATATTTAGAATTAGTTGTAGCGTACTTTGCTTGACTTCCAATATGTGGCGCGATCTGTCAAGATTACGAATAGTGTCATCTAACGGTGAAGTCTGAAATATAATTTCTTAAAGAAATAAGGGTACATATCTGGTATCCGAGTTGATAATTGTTTAAATATTGTATTAAACAATTGATTTACATATAAAATATTATCTTTGAGATAACGAGGGAGACTATAGAATATATTCGCATTAAAATTTTAAACGGATGGTTGTATGTACAAAAAACCTTGAAGTACATGCTATAACACTTTATTGATTTCTGTTTATTTTAATAAAAGAAAAACTGACTTGATTAAGTTTATACGAATATTAAATTCTTTGTAAAATAATAAATTTAATATATAAAATATTATGATCGTGGTTTTAAAAAATCTCTTGGTCTAACAAATCCCATCTGCACGTGTATTTCTTTATGGAGTTATAGAATAAGTGTTGAACAGTTCTATAATGGCACTTTTACCTGTAGAAAGAGACACTTTTGTAGATTCAAATACTTTGAAAGAGACTTGTTCTTTAACGAAATTGCAAGCTCTCCAGATTCAGAAAAATTTGATTAAACTTTGGGAACCTGCACGTGAAATGTACGTAACCTCTTTCTATATCAATACTCAATGCATATAATAAGCGAACAATGTTGCACGAAGACTATTAACATCACCTTTTTACTTTTAGATGGGCATTAAAATATGGAAGCTACTTTGTTGGAATATCAGCTTCTATGACGTCGTTAATGATTAATAGTTTATTCAAACGTAAATTAAAATTACACTATGCTGGAGAAATAGTAACAACGCTTGCTTTGATGATAGGTCCAGCGGGATTAGCAACTTTTATTCACGATACCGTATGTTAACTTTAACTTCAGTTTACAGTAAAATGTTTTCTAATCACTAATATATTAACAAAACTATATACAATTTTACAACTATTATTTTCAGTATATTACAGACAATATATTGTTATACAAAAAACAGTGTCCAATATGCACTGAAGTAAAAGCAAGTTTATACTTAAATGCCAATGCTATACTATATCCTTTACTTCTATCACCAGCAATAACTCTTGCGGTAAGATTCTTTTATATCTCTATGTACATTTACTTTTGATTGTAATTCGATAACTAATATTTTCATTTCTTTTTACATAGGTGGCAGGAAATCTGGGATTAAGAATTCCATATATATATGAAGTTAAAGAGATTTCTAAATTTTGGTGGAGTGTTGTTAAACCTGCATTTAATCATCTTACAGTTGCATTTTGTTTAAATTCACTTCTTGCTGGTGTGGTTGTATATAAACAGTTTGAAGCAGCAGACAGAATGGCAAATATTATACGGAAAGTTAAAGAATATACTGAAAGAAATCAAATAGAGAAAGAAGCTTAAATATCTTGATTTAGTATATTCTGTATATATATATATTTATGTATGATGCAATACATATTTAAACATGTATTTATAAATGTAGTGAAAATAAACATCTTGATACCACAAAAAAGTAATTTCTATGCCACTTTTGTTAGTATTTACATCATAAATATTTTTTTTCTTTCTTTTTAATACATTGTTAAAAGTGAAACACTGGTTAAGATAAATAATAATCTTGAGCAATAAATATACATAAACAGTTGAAGTGAATATACTAAGTACAATGTACATTTCTTAAATGTTAACTAAAAGGAAATTGCTAAATAATAAAAATTTATTACATATGTAACAAAAATAAATAATCAATATTTGTGAGAATTTGTAAATAAAGATATTGTTTGATACAATTAAGTTCATAAAAAGATCGAAATCATTCGGAAATTTCTAATGGTGTTTAAACTGAAGTAAACAATGTAATCTTAGGTGTGTTTAACATTTCAGTTTAAAGTAATAATTCTGAAAGGAATAGCACCTTCATACCCAAGGGTTTAATATCTTTATTAACAAACATATTTTATTATAAAGAAGATGAAGATGAGGTACAGAAAATATAATAGGCACCACTTGAAATGGTAAAAAATTATGTTGTACTATTTCTAATATTATTTTTGTTTTTGAATAGCATAATCCAAGGTTCTCTACAGGAAGACATATTTTATAATGACAACGTGATAATAAAAAGAAAAGTTCTACAAAATTCCACAAAAACAAAGGACTGTATTTTGTAAAGTATATAGTTTGAGAACTAACAAATGTAAAATATGCTTGCATAAATAAAATGTGATTAGGTTTTATTATAGTGAATGATCGATGACTGGCCATTATACTATGATATTGATTATTAATATATTGCAAACAATAATTAAACATATATGTATTTGGACAACAAATGTTGCCAGACATTTGGCAAATAGGGGGCCCTTGAATAGGACCCCAAGGCAGTTGCTAGCATCGTCGACCACACCAACGTGTCATGTAATCCTGATAACTTACAGTCACTTTTTCACTCTGATATCGAGTTAGCTTCAAACTACGCCTGATGTCTGGTGTGACCAGTCCTTTATAGCCACCTTTATGTAGTAGGGAGTCTATTGTTTGTATTTGGTTCCACCCTAAACAAATTTTCACATTGCATTCTTAATCTCAGGCTAATAATATAAATTTTGAAAAAATTAAATACATACCTTGTTCCAATGCTACATCAGGCAAATATGTCGCAGTTCGTTTATTTCCCTTTTCATTATGAAATTCTATGCGAATTCCATGAACTCCTACAACCCAATCTAAATAATCTGTTCCATCTTCAAAATGTCGAAGTATAGAAACGCTAACATGCAAACGTGGAAGTTCTTCCAACGTGATTGGATTAAATCTTGAATCCTTGAAAGCACTATGAGAAACAATACACTTAAAACTCCTCAAAAGGTATCATAATTTTCAATACTCATGTATTGAATACCTAGTGGTAGCATATTCCCGTAATCCTGCATGTAAATGCATTGCATTAAATGTACCAATGCAGCCTCGTAATCTCATATCTTTGCCAATAGTCCATGTTACAAACAATGGGCTTCAAAGTTGAATATAAATATTACATTAGCATATGATTAATATGATGAAAATTTTATGAATATATATTTCAATTGATTATTATTGAATTTTAATAAATTTTCCAATTATATTAAGATAAAAAATTACTAAAAACCAAAATATATCGGAATAAATAAATGAATTGTACATTATATGACACGTTTCACAATTACAAATACAAGATATAATCAAATGAATCTATATATGTGTTTTTTGGCTAGGAAACTATTGTTTTATTTAGTATCCTGAAACACAGATAAACATATATATATCAAAATATTTGAAATAATAGTATAACTGACCTAAAACGCTCAAGGTTTGTATGGCATATCATAAAAAAAACTTATAATCACTGTTTACAGTAGTAAACACGATATATAAGTACTTTGGACAAAACACGTTGCAAATACATGTAAAAACCAACAAATTAAAATTTCTATTTCAAAAACTGTGTTGACAATTTATGGAAAAGAAAAATTAAATGATTTTGAAGGTTACAAGAATGAAGGTACGAAACATAGAGTGATATCGATGAAATATGCTCACAATGCTTCGTTGCTGAAGTTGGGTGGTTTTGGTGGATCAAGTTGGTGCAATTGGCAGTAAAGGACATCGAAACAATAAAAGCCCATCTCAGGCTGAACTATTATAGCGTTTCGCATATGAATACCATTTTGCAAACTAACAATACCGTTACGCGGAACACTTGAGGAATCGTTCAACTTTTGCTTTTTCGCACCACAACACCCAGCTGCCATATTTTGTTACTTAACTCTTTCAACTACCATGGACACGATCGTTTTCCGAATCATACATCTCGCTCGTCCGTTGCAAATGCATACTAAATTACGAACGCGTTCCGCTAGGTGTCTCACCATTTAAGAAAACAGCTGTTTCACTGTTTATGTTTTTTCTGATGCTGACTATCCACTGAAAGAACGAACAAAGCAGAAATATTTGTCGATGTTTATCTCACGAACTAGCAAACGAAATCTTATCGTATATTGCGAAATAAAATAAAAAATTGTCAAATTTTTAAATATAAATGTTAAAAATGTTTAAATTTAGGAATTTGGAATTTAAACATTGGAAGATTTGGAGTTGTTAATTAAACTCAATGTGGTTTGCAAGCTACCACATGACAATCTAGTTTATTATTACACTAAATTCCGCAGTCTCAAAATTTTCGTTTTTCATTTTATAATAAATCATTTATTACTTCTAGTAATTTTAATATCAAATTTATTTACATTGCATACACATTGTCACAAATCAAGCACACGTTTCATTACTTCAATAATGAATACTTTACATTTTACTACATAACTGGCAGTTTATTGGACGTTATAAGATATTAGGTACATAATTAAGTGTCAGAACCTAAATAGATAACAGAATATTCTACTAGCAACAAATATCAACTATAAATTAACAAAATTTAATAGGTTTCTGTGTTTTTATAAGATGTTTTTGTAATAACAAAAATAATTATTAATAAATTGGCAGTGTATAAAATAATTAAGCGAAAATAAAACAATAAAAAAAGTAAAGATATTAATATGTGGAAGAACATATTTTATCCAATCTTAATGAATGCAAAATTTTAAACTGCTTTAATATGTTAATATGTATTATGCCTTGTTTCAATGAAAATAGAGCAATCAGATAAGCATTTTATACAAAGCAATAGCAATTCTATTCGTATTTTACGAGTCACAGAATTAAAATCACAATGAGATCGTCACATTTTTACTTATAGCTAAGTCACAACTATTATTAATGGATTTTAATAGTCATAATGCAGTCCATTGCTTATTTACAGTAGAGGTCCCTTCTATAAATTCTTCATCACATTGACATATGTTTAAAGAGTATTATCTAAATCTTAAAAATTAAAACTAAATCGTACTATATCACATAACAGAAGGAAGTTATCACAAAGACAAGTATTAAAATTTGGAGCAATGCTAATTTAACTTTTTCACTTATATGGTTAATTTATACGTAAATATCTTTAACAAATATAAGAATCCTTTGCTGTAATAAAACTCTGGACTATAATATAACCATAGTTACTAAACTTCAATGTAGCAATGGTATTAAAAAAATGAAATATAAAAATAATCATTTATCACCTATAAGTTTCTATATGATACTGCAGATTTTCCATTTCTGTAGATTCCAATGTTTAAATTTGATACAAACAATCACTTGCAGATAATATAACAGAAATCATTTATTCATACCATTAGTACAAAGAAATTTGAATTAGTGGATTTAATGCGCGAGTGTTGTACAAATGAATGTTTTTAAGTAAGTTTCTCTGCATATTAAAAAAAGAAAAACAAAACATATTTTGCATTGATTATCTAATTCACACTAACGACAATTCGAATGAAAATCATTTAGGATCTATGGCAAGTAACATAATATGCTGCAAATAACTGTATGCCACATAAGAATTACGAGAACATCAGAAGAAATGCTGACAATAGAAAATCTGTATTCTCCTATTCTTCATTTATGTACATATTTTACGTACACAAATCTAAAAATGACGTTCTATGTTTCGTTTTTCATAATATACGAATAATAGAAACATATTTTCACACGAATTTGTACATTAAATCTTGTGAAGCAGGCAGTGAATTGCAGGCAGCATCACTGTGCTATAAAATTGTTTATGTCACTCGTATACTGCAGACATAAATTATAAATGGACATTTGGTAAGTATGATGGCAGAGCTAATTTAATTATATTTACATCCTATTTGTGGACTGAATTAGATTATTTCATTTATGAACGCATTAAAGCATGAGAGAATGAGTAATTATATTATAGTACAAGTTTTCAAATTTCAATAATTAATGTGTAACCTCGTATAATAATTATAAATATTAAGTTTAAAGTTAATGTACTTTTCATACATGTTTTATAATTATTTATATAATTATTAAAGATCAACAAAGAAACAAAACAGTGCCATCATACATAAACTTCTATCATCCTCAAGGAGGACTTTGTGGTATTATAAAGGGAAAACTATGTATGCAAAAACATACAAAGTATAGTAGGCACCATTTCAAACAGTGAAAGATCGCAAACAATAGCCGCCTCCAGTGTCATTTTCGTTTACGAATTGCGTGATCGGTGGATTCTTGTGACGGAAACCGGTGAACTCGAGGGGGAGGATAAAGGTGTGGATGAGGAGGAGGATAGGGTGAACCCGTTTGATCCCACCAAAATGATGAATAATCCCATATAGGTACCATAACAGGGGAAATGGGAGGTACTGGAAGGGGATGTATAAATGCAGGATGATTACGTTGTGTCATTACTAATCCATGATCTTGACTGGCCATGTAAGAATTGCATTGAGAACTATTATATAGTAAATGAGAAGTATGAGAGGTGTTAGGATTATAATGAACTGCAATAGAACTTTGTGATAACTGGGATCCTTGGCTAGGACCCCAAGCCAGCTGCTAGCATCTTCGGCTATGCCAATGTGTCATATAGTCCTGATAGCTTACAGTAACCTTCTCACTCTGGTAACGGGTCAATTTGACACTGCGTCTAATATCCGGAGTAACAAGTCCTTTGTAACCACCTTTATGAAGCAACGAATCTATCGTTTGTATCTGGTCCCATCCTACACAGGATAAATTATGCCTATCAAACCAATTACATTTATAAAAGTAATTGTGCATATTGAAAAATACATAAAAATTTTGAACACTCGTATGTATTTATCAAATAAACAACATTTACTATTCATGATAACAAAATAACATACAAACCTTGCTCTGTTGCAACATCAGGTAAATAGGTAGCAGTTCGTTTATTGCCCTTTTCATTATGAAATTCTATACGAATTCCATGAACACCTACTTCCCAATCTAAATAATCAACACCATCCTCAAAGTGTCTCAAAATGGAGACACTTACATGCAAGCGTGGAAGTTCTTCTCGTGTTATAGGATTAAAACGTGAATCTTTGAATGCACTTTGAAAAGTATCTCATGTCTTTAAATATATAGAGCAATGACAATATTTAAAATAAAAGTATAAACAGTTTTACCTTGTTGTTGCATATTCCCGAAGTCCAGCATGTAACTGCATCGCGTTAAATGTGCCAATACAACCTCTTAACCTCATGTCCTTCCCAATAGTCCATGTAACAAATAACGGGCTACAAAATTAGGAGTAAACAATTAATCATCTTCCTTCCCTTTTTTATTATTGTCAATAAAATTCAATATTTACTTAAATATTTTTCTAAATATTAATCTTTCCATAAGTATTCAACTTTGCACTTCATATTCTTTGCATGCTATATAATATATACATGAAATTGTTAATATATTCATTATAAAATATTTGTATTATATATTATAAACAATAAACATTTAAAACAACCTATGTAATAGGAATAAGTTTGTAAAATACTTGAAATACACAAACTATAAAATATGACATTGACAAATATTTGTAAGACAAAAGTCTTTGTTTCATTGCAAAATATAAGACTCGATGCATCAACATCGAACAAAGAAACTTTAGGAGGGTAAAGGCACGCGAGAATAACATTGGTCAGAAAAGAACGAAAGAGTGAGAGAGAGAGAGTAGCTAATGGCGCGGGTAGGTAAGACAAAGATAACACTATAGGCAAAAGAAAGATAGTAATGTGAAAGAAAGTCCAAAAAGAAATGAAATGTGTAAAGGCAATATCGCCAACTATAATTACTCACAACGCTTCGTTACTGAAGTTGGGTGATTTTGGAGGGTCAAGTTGATGTAATTGACAATAGAGTACATCGAAGCAAAAGAAGCCCATCTCGGGCTTCACTATCACACCGTTTCTTAATTGAGTGCCATTTTGCAGCACCGATCCGTTACAAGGAACACTCAACGAATTGTTCAGCTTCTGCTTTTTCGTTCCACAACAACCTGCAGCCATGTTTCGTTAGTCGATTCCTTCGACGGACGCGGCTACTGCAAATACAATCGGTCCTCGACCCACACGTCTCCCATTCTTCCCTGTCGTCGCGGTCCTGATTGCGCGCGCGTTCCGTTAGATGTCCTCGTGTTCGCGAAAACAGCTGTTTTATTTTCCGCCATTTGTCGCGAGCGCCGTGTCGACAGTCGAACTTGAAAATTGGCGGTAGTACTTTACGGTTCCTTTTATTCTAGTCCAATTTGTGAAAATTCACCGCTTAAAAGTAAAACGAATCAATCAAAGAATAAACAGTTACAACGTGGAAGTGTTGAGGAGGTCAAGTTGCATCGTACGATAAAAGCACCATTTTCTATTCGAAAAGTAGAGCACCCAAGATACATTTGAATTTTTGTGCACCTTTCGAAGAGTTCAATTTAGTGTTTGTACCTTTGTGCACAACAACGTTCAATGCATAACTATCCCATGAGTTCGACAATGTATGCGTCATCTATTTAACAGGTACCTGATCACAGTTTCGTATTGGTATACCAAAATCATATGCAATAATACAATTCCGGACTAAGAAAGCGAAACTTCTGGAATTCAGCACAGAGGTTGGTAACAACAAATTTTATTTGACGTCCATGCTGTAGGACAATCGAAAAGTAAATTTAAATTGACGACATTGACATTTTATCGAAAATGAATAATTGACAGTTTATTTGTATGGAAAACAATTTGAAACTGTTTAATTGGTATGCATGTCAAAAAATTCGCTGTATTGGTAGAATCAGTACGAATGGTCTTTCTAAGTATGTATGAGATGTAAAGCTCCGAAGTATACCTTAATAAGGTCGAAGCATTATGATCGCATAACGAGTGATGTGAGCAGAGTGATTGAAAGAAACGTAAAGAAAGAACAGCGAATACAATTGCTGGAGGAAGAAACTATGCCGAGGGCACCGACTTTTCTAACCCCTTACCTGGCACCTGTTCACGATGCACCGGAGAAGCCCGAGGCGTGACAGCAGATTCAACCTGGCAACGTGCACTTGCTTGTAGCTGTCCGGTACATTGCCAAGTGGCTGTATTTTTTCTGACAGCTGACATCGTGTACCCGTGCTTTATGGTATAACGGTTACAACGTTTGTGCCCGAGCGTGCTAGTGAAATTTCAAAGTGTCCGCTTTTCATCCTCGAACACTCGTTTTTCGTGGTAAACAAAGCGATCAGGCAACGACTTGGAAACCGGCCGCCGATTACAACCACGGCGTCAAGTGAAACGATGCGTGCAAACAATAACATTCCCGTCGGCTTGTTATTAAACCGTTGTTCGAGGATATAACACGACACCCAACAAAGCTGTCCGTCGTGGATTTTCTAACCAGTCGAGTTTCGATCGGGAAAGTGTCGAAGACAAACGGCCATGGAGCAGAAATTTTAAGCGATTTTTACGCTGATATTCTCGCGTGATAAACGGAACGCGGTGCGGCAAAATGACGAAGGACCGTTCAAAGCTGCCGATGGAATTAATATAGGTGAGTGTTTTGTATATATTTACTTCGTACTCACGTGTGCATGCGACGCGTTACGTGATTCGAATCTCGATCATCACGGTTATTTCCAATCTCGTCTCTTTGACGAATGCACGCACACGTGTATACGTTTGTATTTGTTGTATGCAATTTACAAGCCGCGTTATATAAAATGTGTCATAATACGCTGAGTGTTCGAGTGTGAGTCACATTTACGCAACTTTACGTGGCGCTCGAGTCAGATTGTTTCAAATAGATAGAAAACCGCGAACGGATATTTGATAAATGAGAAATTCGAAAGTGCTAGCCGGATTGGGCAATCAATGAAAACCGCGTTTCTCGTATTTTTTTCTTTTTTCCGAAGGAGCGGTAGTTAAGTGCTCCTTTATTGCCTAACGATCCGTGTCTCCTCGTTTATTACACTGTTCGACAAATTTTGATTTCTCTTTCGATCTTAAATTTACATATTTATAAATTTCTTAATTCGCGACCTCGTGAGCTTATAATCGAGTATATATTTCGAGTTAAATAATTCATAATCTTTTGAAAAATCTTGGCATAAAAATTTAATAGATCGTAATTACGGGTAAGTGATTGTAATTACAAAATAATTTTTCCTCCTTTCTGATGTAAATGCATCATTGTGGTGCCAGCCGTGCTCCACGAGCTAATTACTATTTTGAATCTTTTGATGAACGAAGCGAAACGTTTTAACGCAAAAGATAAATTTACACGTTGCTCATCGCGTGTTCCTTAATTCGCATGAGTTTTCTCGGAGCGAATTACGCTGCGTCTCATGATGCTTATCGCAGTAATAGGCATTCACTGACATCGCCATCACACGTTCCATATTACTTTCTGTAAATAATCCACGCTTCCGTGGCGTCGATGTATAATTTAAGTAACTTTAAGTTAATTACAATAATCGTACTCCGATACGATCCGCACAGCGAGTTCGCGCTTAATATTTGTTAACGATAAGTCGATATGTTAATGAGAACCGGTTGATAATGGGCACAGTCACCGCTATGGTTTCTGCTACTCGGGGCAAAAGTCGATATTATTGGAAATGTCTACGGCAAACTGCCGTTATATCGTCATTATGTGCGAGATAGAAATTTGCGAATCTGCGAATTGGAGATTTGGATGTTGGAGATCTAGGAAGTTGGGAATTTGGAGGTGGGGAGTTGGGAAGTGGGGAATTTGGGATTTGCGAGTTGGAAATTTATAAATTATGGAATTTGAGATTTGGGGAATTTGAGAATTAGGGGATTTGAGAGTTTGGGGATTTGTGAATTGGGAGATTTGAAATTTGGGGAATTTAAGAATTGGAGAAATTGTGATTTGGGGGATTTGAGATTTGGGAAATTTAAGAATTTGGGGATTTGAGAATTGGGGAATTTGAGAATTTGGGGATTTAAGAATTAGGGGATTTGAGAATTGGGGAATTTGTAAATTAGGGGATTTGAGAATTGGTGGATTTGGGAATTGGGGGATTTGGAAATTGGGGGATTTGTGAATTAGGGGATTTGGGAATTGGGGGATTTGAGAATTAGGGGATTTGAGAATTGGTGGATTTGAGACTTGGGGAATTTGAGCATTAGGGAATTTGTGAATTGAAAATTTGAGAATTGAGGAATTTGTGAGTTGAAGGATTTGAGACTTGATGAGTTTGAGCATTAGGAAATTTGTGAACTGTTGAATTTGATAATTGGGAAAATTGTCAGTTGTAGGATTTGAGACTTGGATGATTTGAAGCTTAGGGAATTTGACCATTGTCGATTTGAGAGTTAGAGAACTTAGGACTTGGTGAATTTCGAAGTAGGTAATTTAATCAACGTATATTCCGAAATTCATAAACCTATAAATTTGTGGACTTAATCAGGGTATTCAACAATTAAATATTTTGAGAATCACGTATTTTAAAAATTGAAGTATCTAAAAATTGCTGTATTTGTAATTAACAGTATTTGGAATTTAGGAGACGTAGAAATCTAGTAATTTAAAAATTTAGAGTCAGATTAACAATGAGCATGTATTTCATTTGGACACACGAAATGCATTTACCATGGCTTAACGTAGTTACGGTTGGTGTTGATAATGCACTCGTATACGTCCCACGAACGCGGTTTCACCATTCAGACTATCAAACAAAAGTTCCTCCAAAACATTTAAACCGACTTGAAGTACACGAACTGGGTTTTTATTGTAGCGAACACCTTAACTGTCACCTTGACGTTACTTAAAATTGCATTAAGAGATATTTTTAGTGATCTCATCTATGGTTATTAAAATACTTTTATGTCTACGTATATTATTAATGTGAACTTTCATCGAAGAAGATTGATGTTATCGTTACGGGTGATTTTGAACCATAATTAGATGAAAATTATGACTTTCACTCATAATTAGGTCATTTGGTAATCTGTAAAAAAATTGAAGTCGTTTAGTCCAGTTTAGAACAGTTTTATAGATATCTGAATATTTTTGTGACCGACTGTAGGTTACTCGATGCAGATGAATAAGTGTGGAGGGAATCGAAGGTTATTTGTGATGTAACCACAGAGTAATTAGTTGTTCCACGTAAGAAAATCGCATTCTTGCAATTTAAATTTATAGAAGGTGTAGGTACGTGGTAAAGTTCGAACAATGCTTTTCCCGTGTTATTCTTTGCAACGATTGCGATAAGTTGGTGTTCTTGTTCCTTTGTGCTACTTCTAACGCGGCTGTTAAGTTAAAAATCTCCAAGTTTCACGACTCGAGCGAGAATAAATTTCTACCACTTTATTATCGAGTACCGTGTTCCGAATCGTTTATAATTTAAAATTGCAACGAATAAACGTAGAAAGTTTCTATGATTTCTAAAGCCACTGAAAAACACGTGTAGTGTGTTAATTTCATCCACTTTTAACACGTTTGCCGACTTCTTCCATGAATGCAAACATTCTTCGTTAATCCGTAACAATGTCAAAAGCACCTTTATTTAGAATCTTTTCGCCTCCTAATTAGTCAAGGTGTGGTTTTGCTTTGAATTCGCGCCGACGGCCCTGACCTTCTTCGCACGAAAAACTACATCATAAAATCTAGAAGTATGCGATATACCGTTTATTCTCGGTTTAAGTGGAATCACTAAGAATTTCCGCGTGTTCGAGAAACATGGTTACGAAAATTCAATGGCGATTAATTTTGTTAACCCCTTCCCATTTATCAGATGTGTCAGTCAAGACTAAGGGCTATATTATTAAAATTAGCAAAGAAAAGTAAAATGTTGTAACTATTTTATATTCAAGGATCCTTGATAATGTAACTTATAGTTGCACCTAAATTTCAAGTTAAAGAGTATTCAAAATTTAAGTTAGGTTTGTCACATTTGAGCTCTAACACTTGTCACACTTGTGCCTCACGAGTGAAATTCGTCAAAGTACGAGAAGAGGTTAAATCGATATGTGTTAGAATTTACATTGAATCTAACGAATCTAATGTAATATAAGAGTCGAAGTGTTAGACGCCGAGTATTTTGGTAAACTGCTATTTAATACAGGGAAAATAAAAATGAGTTTCGATGAGCGACACGGTGAAGGTATGCAAGGTCGGAATTCACGCGATGTGACTCGGGAATTTCTTCAGGGTACTTAGTCGTGGTTGCTTATCTGCGTCCGTCTTTTAAATAGTCACATGCCTATTGGGAAATCCTCGCCTTGAGGAGCTGCTGCTTACCTTGTTCAATGAATTCCCACACGTTTATCCCTTCCACTTACGATCATCCTGAATCCGATGCGAAATTATATGCATCGGGAATGCTGCCCTCGTTAATTGTCCGCAATTCAATGGCGATCAAAATCCCTCATATTATTCATTAATAACGTTCTTCTCTTACGTTCCTTCTCTTTCATTTTTTACTTTATTTCATTTATTTATTATTTATCTGTTATCAGTGATTATTTATTTTTTTAATGACAACGTGTTAACAGTTGTTCATGATTTAATGATGATCAAACAGAAATACCTCATATTATTCATCTGTAACATTCTTCTATTACACTCCTTCCCTTTCATTTTTTGTTTCTTTCATTTATTTATTATTTATCTAAGATCAATGATCACCTATCGCTTTAACGATAACGTTTTAACAGTTGGCTATCATTTTGAGGCCAGCATTGTTTGCTAAAAGTTTTATCAACTATTTTTGTATTTAATATATTTTATCTGTTGCATGACATGATCTAAATTGTATCACCACAATTGTTCACAATTTCAAATACTAAAATTAGTAATAATATTTCTAATAAAATATTATTTCACTATGAAAAGAATTCCGAACAATGTGGATGAAGCATTCCAATTATATAACACGTACACGTGTGACGTGACAATTAATGTAATTAAACGAACATCAGTAATCATGGAAAACTAATTTACAATTTTTAAGCTCACGATATTTAATGCAATTAAATTGTTTTTTCCTGTGGCTCGTACCTAAGCATTTTTCATCACATGATTATGGAACGATGATCATAATTATTGACAACTTCGTAAACATTGTTAAATATCCTCTGGGATTTATGATCTTGTCTGTGATTTTCTATAATTGTTTAAGACGAGGAAATGCGTTAGAGGTACTTGATTTATTGGTACATGGGGAATAAATTTCTTCGAGTTCTTTTTATTGGGAATTGGAGAGAGGCAGATTTATGATGAAACGAGATTCCATAGATTCTTATAAACAAAATTTAATTCTTAGATTTAATTTTTGTAGATAAAATAAGAAGCAACAAATTTTTTATAAGAAAAATAAGACTCGATTATTGACATAAGTAGATGAGTGATTAGAGTAAGTTTGACCCCAAAATTTGCTTCCACAAAAGTATTTAAATAAATTGAATTTTGACTATAACTATCTCGTCAAGTCTGATCAGAAATAAATCCTCAAATCACCACGTATGGTCAAACGTTATATTGAACAAAAAATATTCTATACAAAATACACAATAAATAATATTATGTGAAATTATGAATACGAATTGGAGTGACTAAACCAGTCAAAGTCTACAAATTCAGAAACCAACCATACTAAAAATGAAGTAACGATAGGTACTTGATATGTTCGGTACAGGCAACTTGACTCACCTGAGATAAAAATCCTAATTACGCCAATGATATTGCAAGCAGGTCGTACAAGTGTTAAGTCGTAAAGCGATTGAATTTATAGGAGAAACTCGACTCCTGTGCTTGTGTAAAATGCAATGGTGTATTGTATAAATCAGCGCGCTGGTTATTTGAAGCGTGTTAATGTTTGCACCAAATCGTGCAACACATTCCGTACGAACATTTCGGTTTGTAAATTATACTTTTTACTAAACACAAAGCTATACCTATACATTAATTTTGTCTGTGTTATGAATTCAGCTGCCAATTGTCTTGGAAAACAATTTTATTATTACAGTCAAAGAAACATCTTTACTAGTTTAATTTAGTTTAACTAAGAAACGAGTCATTTCTGTACCTTTTGAAAGCGTCTCAAAGATCTCGAATGGTGCAAGAATAAATAAAATAAAAATAAATGGAAATGCATGGAAAGTCTTTTATTAAATTTAATGAACGTTAATTCTGTTTCGTACTAATAACGAGCTTCCTAATTTTCTTTGCTCTCATCAACCGATGAACGCGTTTCATTCGATATTATCGCTCTAAATTAATAAATATTTCGTTGCCGATGCTCCGCGGAGGTTCTTGAACTTTTAACCCGGACGGAAATAGAAGAATCAGACTGTCAATTTGCATTTACCGGAATATTGGCTTTATCGCGTTCGTTGGACCGTATTTTTAGTCTTTATGCAGCTGTGTTCTATAAAAACGTACGCTACGTTTATTTGAAATACTGACGTCTGCGTATATTACATGACGAATTATTTGTTTGAGAGTCTCTCGTAAAACAAAATATATTTTTCTCAATATACATTTATTTTTATATACATAATGTACACGTATATTTATATGGTAAATAAGTTAAAATTTGTTCTTTAACATTTTTCCATGAAGGCGAAAGATATACAATGATTATACTGCAGATGTTTGTGCAAATATTTTCTCGTTTCAAACGCTTTAAAATATTATCTCAATTCTTACAATTTGCATATTGCGAATTTCCTTACATTCGTTCTTCTCTCCTAGATATATTATAAATGCACAAACATCTGTAGTTTAAGATTGACCTAACTATCTGACTAGAGATTACGATACCGCTATTATGTATTGTAATACTTCATCTACATTATTAATCTAGTTATCTGTACATCGTCGAACGTTCAAAGTTTCGCAAACTTTCATTCCTTCTGTTTTCGAGTTACCGTGTAAAACAAGAAGGTGTATAAATATTTACAATATCGAGAGTTTTGATTGCCTTCATCGCTCAGTTTGTTACAGTTACTCCTTCCAATTATGGAGGTCACAGACGCTCCGCTAGACTCTTAAGCATGTTGCAATCTGTGATAACACTGTTATTTAAGTTTATGCTTCATCCAATTTAGAAATACAGAGATTTTCAAATTCTCAAGTTTATAAATATTTAAGGTTTCGAATTTTTGAGTTTTCAAGGTTTCGTTAATAAATTTGCAAGTTTTTAAATGTTTAAGTTTTCAAATTTACAAACGTAAACTGTACTAATAATTTAGTGAGGTAAAAGTTTGTAAATTTATGAATTTTCAAACGCAAAGTTTCGAACTCGAGCCACTAGTTGTTCACTCAGCAATGGAATCCATCTTTGCTTTGAAGCCTCAGGCGGTGTTAACACTTTAACGGCCTGACACTTTCTACAATTATCATTTTAAATTTCTTCCTAACGAATTGTCAATAAAATTATATTTGAGTGTCCATTTATTTACAATGTAAAGGTACTGATTTTTAAATGTAACTAATATCTCACTCTGTAAAGGTACTGATTTTTAAACGCTAATTAATATCTGATTCTGTAAAGGTACTGATTTTTAAACGCTAATTAATATCTGAAACAAATGAAACTAAGTAAGATAATAAATAATGAAGTTAAAAGTTAAATGACAATTTTGAGAAAACTAATTCATGACCAACTTATAAATATTGACCGTTAAAGTGTTAACTGCTATATAGTTATGTTAATATAACAATATTGCAATTTTGACAAGATTGTTCAACGTTTGATGTCAATGACATAAGACGTAAATAGTAGCGTGAAGAAAACTGATAATATCGAATTGAACCAAGTCTTAGCTAAGATTATATTTGACGTGGAAGAGTTTACGTATTCGCTGTTCTCCGGTTTGTTCAATTTTTCGCCTGGGTGGCAGTAATACTCGTCGTCTCTTGGTATCACGTCTTTTACGATGCTCAAGAACTGGTCGAACGGGCATAATTCCACGCAACCTGGGATCGTTTCGATTATAAGTTGCTCTGAAACTCCAGTCCAAAGTAAAACCTGGGGAAAAGTTATATATTTCACAAAATATTTATGCGCGTACTTTAAACTTCGAATACGGTGCGAATTCTCTCTTTCATGATGAATATTTTCTACTAATTTCACCTCGTGGTTTTTGCTTGAAAAATTATTCTTAATATTGCTGTAGTCATTTGACAAATTATTCTTAATACTGTAATTGCTTCAAAAATTATTTTCAGTATTGTTGCAGTTGCTTAAAAAATTATTCTCGATATTCTTGCAATTGCTTCAAAAATTATTTTTAATCTTTCTGTAACTGTTCAAAAAAATATCTTTATTTTATTACATGAATATTTTATGCAAAATTTTCATTATGAATATTACCACGATTTTTTACACGTCGAGAGATTGCAAGTGTAGTATTTTTAAATTAAAATGGCGCGGTGAAATTTATTAATATGCTGAATATCTTAACCTGTTAAACGTCGAATTAACTCGTCATTCGACATTCCGTAACTAATCTCGTATTTATTGAGAAATCTATTTTTAACTACAGTGCTGCTTTTACGGTACTTGAAATATTTATTGCATCATTCTAAAATTTACATACGCATTATCCACAATTCTCATGGAAGTGTGATTGATGTAATGGAACGCGTATTTTTATCCCCACATTAAATAGATTTTTATATCTTTAATTAACTTTGTAAAAATGTGAGGTTACGTTATTGATTGTATAATAAAATCCGACGACAGTGAAATAAATTTTATTTTATAGCGTTTTTATGGGCGAAAGGAACGGGAATGAATATTATATTAATAAAATAGCAAACGTAAATTCTGTACAGACTTGTAACTTCTAAGTACTCGTATTTTGAGGTAAGTGTAAATTTATTTGGACAATTCTTGAATGATGCTTTAATGACTTCCAAACTTCTTATTTAGAATAAATTAATTTTAAAAATGTTAATTTATCAGGAGGTCATCAGACGTTTTTCAGCCAACGACTTAGCTACGTCAAATTAAAAATGATATATTTACCCGAACATAGTAGCTCCCCTTTTTGTCCCTCAAGGTTTCGAGGATTACAGTAGCTCCATAGGCAGGCACCGAGGGTTCATCTAAGCCCAATGCTCTTACAACCGCGGCAACGTTCATTTCATGAGCCGAGAAAAGAAACGCTTTCCTGTCATAAGGCTCCAGTTTTCCCATTTGATACGTTTTGATATCTTCTATCATTTTCCGTAGCAGTAAACCTGGAATAAACAGGGATCATTGCCTGTGACATCGATTCAAATCTAGACCGTTTCTCATCGATTAACGCGATTATTCCAATACCTCCGTTCAAACGCTTCAACGTCCTTGTATATGATCTGAGTTTGAAATCCAACGCTATTATTTCTTTCATCGGCGTAGGATACACTGTCTCTGTCCATTTCGGAAGACTCAGGTTTTGAGCAGCCTGTCGTTAACGATACTCAATCATTAAACCGGTCTATGAATATAAAATAGATTCCGTGATAGTAACATACCTGTTCCTTCAGTAGGTTGTACATGTACGTCACCGCGGATGTTGTGTTCACCGCTTTTCCAGAATGCTTTGACAGATAATTCATAACATTTCTGTATTTCCCTACTATGTCTTGCACGTTCTTTTGCCGGAGGAATTTATCATACTCTTCTCTGTACCTTTAGTTGGACACGAGTTAGCTAATTAATATTAGGGATACAAAGTGGGTCGCGTGTTTAGGAACGATTCGCGTTATTAATTAGAACTGCCTCGTGCATGCTGCTTTTGGAACTTTAGAAAAATACTCTTTCTTTGTACCGTTTGAAGAAGTTTGAATAATGATTATTTTGCACTGAATTATTTAAGGTGTACATGGTATATGCATATGTATATGTTTATATATATGTATATGTATATGTATATGAATATGCATATGTATACACGTATACTATGTATGTATACATATAGTTAGATAAGAAGACGTATGTAAATGTGAAAGTTTCTGAATTCATCGATTTCTAAATATCCTAACTGATCCTCAAATTTCGCTAACCTCAAATGCATAGATTAAACTTCTACATCCCCAAATCGCTACATGCCTCTAATTCCTGGATTAACAAATCTCTAAACCACTTAATGCCGAGATTACAAAAGCTCCAGACCCTGAATCCACAAATTCTCAAATCTCTAATCCCAGGATTAACAAATCCTCCTAACTCTGCATTCTAAATCTCAAGATCCTCCAGTTTCTAGATCTCCAAATTGATAGACCTTGAATTCCCTAAATTCCCAAATTCGTATATTCTCACCTTGCTAGGTGCTCGAATTCTAACATCTCCCATTCCCTAGATCCCCGAATTTCTACATTTACAAATCTGTAAATTCCCATATCCTCAAATTGTCAAACCTTCAATGATATTTAGAGATATACGAGTAGATTTCTTCATTCTTGATGATATTTTTTATAGAGATATTTTAAACGTAGTTCCAGTTCTTCAGTTATGTCATAAAAATATTATACTTATAATCAAACAAAAATATCATCTTTCTGATTAGACCCACATATGACAACCCTTATGTGAACGACCTGGTACCCAATTAGTTCTGTATTTTATTTTTATTGAGTCCTATGAAAATGTCACAAGTACCAGTTTGTCATTCTATTAATACAGATGTACGTGTTTGTAATAAAAATATATGATTTACGTAAGAAATGAATGTTTTGCTCCGGGTACCAGATTGCTCGTACAAGAGTAAATGGACGAACACACCGTAAGAATTACCTAGGGCAATGATGTGGAAATAGAAGATTGTCATCCTCGTAGGGTACGGAGAAGGTGGCTGCGGGAATCCATGGTAGTTGTGGATTCCAGGTTTGCTTCTCCGAGGGCGGGAATAATCCTGCCAGAACTAGCTGTAGAGATAGCTGAGTCCTTGGGATGTATGTCGATCGAGCATAGATCTTCTCTGGCCAATAATCCGGCCCGAAATATTGATTGTAACGTTCACGGAGCATTGTGCCGATCCTGTATTCACGCAGCTTACCTTGCTGCATGATTGCGTGAAACAATTGTGCATTATAATTAGAACAGTGTGTGATGTTTTAGGGATTATTCACGGAATACTTAATGCTTTTCTCGATTTGGATCATTGAGGGTACATATTGAGCTGCTCCATATCGAATGATTTATACTTAAATATGAAATTTGATGACATAAAACAGTACGTGTGCTCTAACAATTTACGGTTTGATCGCAAATAAGGATAATTACGAAATATGTTTTATTAATCTTTCGCTTGCAAAGGCGACCGCTACATTTTGAAATATTGTAATTGGTTCGCAGTGGAAATTTTGAAATGATAATTAAATATGGAAACATCCGTGATAGAAATATCTCGTTGCACGTAAAATTTGCTGGACAAAATTATTTTATTTACGTTTGTATTTAACGCGAAATTAATTAATTGAACATATGAAAACATTACATGGCGAAACAGCCGCAGGAAAGGAGTTGAATCAGATATAGCAATGGATATACAACGAATCAGAGTGAAAATCAATCAGAACATTCTGCAGTAGAAGTTGCTGATAATTTCATGCAAATATAAATCTCTAAAGTGACATCCATGATAGATTCAAATGGAATGTTATCTACAATCAAGTAAAATGCATCATCTCGAAGGATACATAGCTTCAAGAAATCTAAGTTTTTTGAACGATATTATCTTTAACAAAGCTGGAATCGCATAAATGAATTATATATGTAAATTAAATTGTATGAATGAATTAATAATTTCATCCGGAACACCTGACGCGAGAATACTGTATATTATTGGAAAATATCGTTCAATTAGGAAGGTGTATACCGGTTATGGAGATTATGTACGAAACAAACTTACAAATTAATTCAATGCAGAACTTTAAGGATTTCTCGAAACATACGTAATGCAACCACACCTACCGATACGATACAGTGACTTTAGTTTGACATGTGTGCAATCTTCATAAGTAGATTATAATTAGATTTGTGACCTTTACTGTTCTACTGTTTCACTATTTTATCGTTCTACTATTCTATTATGGTATTTCCTGCTGTTCTACTGTGCTGTTATTCTGACTCACTATACTATTATTCTACACTTCCGTTAGTTTTTTATTGTACTGGTATTTCAGTATTTTATTAGTCTTATTATTTTATGATTCTACAATTCTACAATACTACAATTCTACAATTTTACTGATCTACTATTTTACTACTTTTTTATTCAACTACTCTGCTATTCTACTATGCTAGTATTCTACTATTTTAAAATGCTAGTACTTTATCACTTAACCATTTTTATTATTCTACATTAGTCAATACCATGAATACCGAAGCAAATTTATTCATCAAAACCGTCAGAAAAATATTTTCACAAACCGCCATGCAACACTAATTGCAACTTAACTGCAACTTACGTTTGTCAAGTCTCCGCTGCCCATCGGATAATAAGAGTAGTCCTTGTACGGATCAGTCGGATAATTCTGATACTCCCGATGAGGCACTTTGTCACCATGTCGAAATACCTTTAAAAACACGTGGAACCATTAATTCGACCACAGACTACATCAAGAGATGCGTGCACAAATTCGAATGACGCGACGTTCACTGTTACCACGGGATATTTATAAAAACGAAAGTTGTTTCTGCGAAGATGTCATCGGCGAAAGCCTTGAAATTTACCAGGTGTAACATTTGCAACTCCAGATCACAGTTGGCCACAGTGACAACGATAGATATCACCGTGACAATTAGCATCCGATCGAGCAACATCCTATTTCTTTTTTGTCCACCGACCCGATGAGAATGCAAAGCACGAGCGTGGCGCGTCCAGAATGTACAATTTCTTTGCACGATCTACGAAGATCCTTATATTCCTGCTGGTGCTTAACTTGAAACAACTGGTCGAGTGGGGGTGGATAAGGAACACAGGCGAACAGGTTTGCTGTTCTCTCGATTTTTATCGTCTGTTCCCCGTTTTTGCTCGTTACGTTGATCCTTTTCCTGCCGCCAAGTGGCGATCGCGGTGTTCCTCGAAGGCCACGTACTCGAAGAATGGGTTATCCCCGGTTCGGGAGGTTCAGGTTCAACGTCATATCCCCGCGAAAGCCGTGTTTCATCGTTAAACAAAGATTACTGTGGATCGCCTTGAAAGTACCCTGTTATGTTGGTCGCACAACTTCTCTGCAGTCGAATCTCGTCTGGGTACATGCTTCTCTATTGCTTAATTTAACTCTCTTGAAGATTCGAGTGGGGAAAGTTATTGATTATGCCTGAATTTTAAGTAGGTAGGTAGTCATGTAAACACTGGTCATGGTGTTGGTATTTTTTAGGACACTCTTTTTAAAAATAGATTTACGCAAACTGACGATTTGGTACATTCACATTGTTGGTCGTCAAGTGAGACCTGAACTGATAACGCACAGAGAGTTTCAATTGTATTGACATGTAAAGTTTGTAAATTTATAAATTTGGAAACTGTAAATGTAGGAACTTGAATATCCACAAATTTAAAAGATTCAATACCCTATTCTTCTAACTGTAAATAATAATAAAATGGATAAGTGTCCTTAAGTTTTCTGACTACTTGCCCATTACTGATTTACTTGAACCAACGTATGAATCCATCACATGTATTCATTAAACCTAAACCATCATCTAATCCTTGCTAAGAAATTAAAATATCCAAATAAACACATGACTCAAAGTGCAGAAGTACAAGCAGAAAATGCGAACCAAAGTGTTTTTTGAACGTGTTTCATTATGGCTGATTAGAGCATGCGCAATTGGCCTAATTGACGGTGTAATTAAAGATTCGCATCGACATGTATCTTATCCAACAGACGTGTTAATGAGTTACATCTACGGATATAAGGAATTCTGAGATCCATTAAAGCTGATGATTTAGTTCATCAAAATTCATTGGTAAGTAAGCGAGAAATATTTATTTTCGTTTCATTTATACTAACCGCGAAACTAGGATTAGAATTATTCGATTCTTCTGGAAATCGCGATCGACGTCAAATATCCGGCACTTACGGGGAAACCCGACGGAGGAAACCTAACCTCACCGTGACGTACACGTTTAGGAAATGCAATCATGGTTTTTCATCGACTCTCTTGGGACAATCTAAACGGGTATTTTCCTGTTACGTAATAGATTAATTCGGATCCTATAAATACTTTCTCCTTGGATGAAATAACATAGGCGGTTAGGTAAATATGTCCTTAGATACCAAACGAGTTACAGTTTCGTAAGTTGTCAACAGTAAAAGCGCATATTTACCTGACTGTGACGTCGATTCGGAATAACTTGATTATTATCGGTGATATCTATTCATACGATAGTACATTGGCCTTTTGCCTTGTCACGTTTACACTTATGTGTCACATACTTATTCAATTAATAACCCGTGTCGTTTCAAAATGTTTAACTTTCTACATTGTATTTGCGAGACACTGATAGGAATCGAAATTGCTTGCATTACAATAACAGGTATGCGATACACATTTGTAAAAATAAAATTTATGACGTTTGTAAAATTATGTACATAGATAATCAATATTCCTAAGTTCATAGGCAATATTCCTAGGATTCTAGTATTTCTAGATTTTTGGGTTTTTAGTATCATTCGATAGATGCCTGATGTAGATGTCTGGATTTATCGTCGTGTTTTCCAGTTTTAACTTTTTTTCGGAAAAGGTAAAAGTCTGGTTATCTATAGATAGCAGTAGATGTCGGACAGAGATTTATAGTTGGCATATTGTTTTATTTAAATTCCATGTAATGTCAGACAGGGTATCGGAACCATCAATCCTGTTACGTCTGATTATTTTCCTCAACGATTTCATGTTCCAGGAAAAAGAAAAAACGTGATGTTGGTATGCAGTTATGTGTCGCATTAAAAATTACAATGGAACATTTCGCTTTGTTTTCAGGTGATAATGGATGGGCATAAAAGCGACTTTATGCGAGATAAATTGTCTTGTAAAAAAAATGTAGTTCAATTTATGCATTGTTCTGTTTTGTAACGTTGTCGAGAAGTATCAGGAAATAATATGAGCGTGATAAACGAGCAGTGTGTAACCGACTGCGATACAAGGTGTAATGATGTTTGCTTTGTTAATTATATAGCCGTTAGTCATTTCTTTGCGGGTAACGATTTTTACGAAATAGAACTTGCACGGTTGTTTCAGGATTTTAATGAAGCTTCCAGCTCTCGTTTCTGTAATTGAAAGTGCTTGTTCCTGGAACAAATTCGAGGCGTAAGATTGCTAAAATTAAATATGATGTTATTCCAGTACGAAGAACATCAGAAAATCTTTGTATGTTCACGCGTTTTTGTTAAATGTGAAAAAGTGAAGGTCGAAATATTCAATTTATTTCGACGTTACGAGTCTTGGTACTGAACTGCTTTAACCAGAGATATTCTGTAGACAGAATGACGTTTGCAACATAAAATTACCAGCATTTATTACAATTTATTTTAATTTGACCTGTATCTTTCGATTTCGTAAAATTTCATAAAAATTACTGACACGTCAGAAATATAAAAAATTCACAGACGACCAATTTTCGTTCTGACTCAATTATTCAGCCGAAAATCGCTAGCTCTCATGTTCCTTCGAGGTTCGATAATCTGCAGTCCTTCAAAATAGCAAACGCGATTTATTTTTCATATTCCCGAAACTGTATTTCCGTTTAAAATTGCATAAAAATATTCGAGCTGCTCGATTTGGAAACTAGTTCATTCCGAATGGCTCGAGAAACTTTTAATTAGGGAGATGGTTCATCATAACTCTTACATAGGTCCAAATGTAGCGGGAAACTGAAATCTTTCGTACAGAAGAATTATGCAATATCAATATTGTCAGAGGCAAAAGATGAAGCGATGAATAATTGATTTACTAAAATACTGAAATCACTGAAATTAATGTTTGTTGTAAAATTATTATCTTGATCAGTAAATGAAGTTAAATTAATTCGTTGTGTTCGAAATTACATCCTGCAAATAAAGTCACTCATTCCTGTATCCATAATTTTCAATAATTGCAATTATAGCGTGGTATGATACATGCTTCCGGTTTCATTACGACTTAACGCGTTAATATGCAACGAGTCGCGTCAGAGATTCGCGAATAAAGAAATAGATAACTCGACGAGCCGTGATAGGTGGAACCGTGGGTGTGTCGCGGTTGAAGTTGGCCGATACACGCCTCTGTTTCACCACGAACGCGCATATTAAAATGTTTAGACGAAGATGAAGAAGAAAAATATGAGAAGTAAACCGGTCTTGAAAGACCATAACCTCTAACAACTATACGTTGTGTTCTTAATGAACGTGTAAAAAAGATCCTCCCCGTTACGAGAGTCAATATTGTCCTCGTCGTTTTGCACGGCGAATCCTTAAGTGAAAAGGTTTCATAAAATTTCATAGAAAGCAAATAACGACCCGGACGTTTTTAAAGCGAGCCTCGGCATTTCTATCCACGATCGCCAGCGTGTATGCGCTCTTGCTGTTTTTATGCGTTTCGGAACGTTGCAAGATTATTGCTAAATTTATGAAGCCTTCGCGAAAATGCGTACATGAAAAGATTGTTAACGGAGTTTCTTTCCAACTTCTTTTTATACGATTTCTACCTAAATTAAACGAGGCGATTCGCAAATAATGTTAATGGCGCTCTCTTTCAGACGCCACGAATAAAACTGATAAAAAATTTCACCTCTTAATAGGCGGTAAATATAACTATATGATAGCTGCAGTTTTTTACACAAGAAATGCAAGGATTTATTTTGTAAGATCAGAAGGAAATCTGTCGTTATGCGGAGTGTTTGCGTTATGTTAGGTGTGACGTATTGGTGACTTTATAGGTACTTCTAGGTGTATTCATACATTTGGACATTTCTGGATTCTTAATTTCTGAGTATCCCTAATAGCTGTAATCTCTAAAATCAATAGTTCTATGTTAGTAGATCTTTGGAGTTCAATACTCCTAGATTTCTAGTAGTCATAGGTTTCTAATATCCTTAGAGCTGCACTATTCTCAGATCTCTACTATTCCCAGGTGACTACTATTCTTACATCTCTGCTATCTTCAGATCTCTACTATCCTCAGATCTTTGCTATCTCTTGATTTCTATTGTCCCCAAATTTCAAATACCCTTAGATCTCTACTATCCCGAGATCTCTATTGTCTCCAAATCTCTAATATCTCTGGATCTCTACTATACCCAGATCTCCACTATCCCCAGTTCACTACTATGCCCAGATCTCCACTATACCCAGATCACTACTATCCCCAGATCTCCACTATCCCCAGTTCACTACTATCCCCAGATCTCCACTATCCCCAGATCACTACTATCCCTCGATCTCTACTGTCCCCAAATCTCTACTGCCCTCAAATCTCGAATATCCCGAAACCTCCACTATCCTCAGATCTCTACTAACTCCAGACCTCTACTATCCCCAAATCTCCACTATCCCGATATCTGTATTACCCCAGATCTCTACTATCCCCAATATTCCACATCCTACTATGTCCAGCTCCTTAATGTCCCCACATTCCTAATATCAGTAGACCCTAATACCCCCCAAACCCTAAATATTCCTAGAAACTTGACATTCCCGTATCCCTAATGACATTCCCATGTTACGTAAAGAATGACCACAAACGTTTTGTTACATGATAGCTAACAGTTAATGTGATGTATTCGTAAAACAAAAGTTTTACGATAGGTAACGCAACAGAAACTCGTTAGGATTCTTGAGAATTTGAGGCGTAGTGAATTATCGCGTCAGTGTTAATATCTATCCGTTGATGTACACTGTATAACTATGCACAGAAGATAAACATAGTTGACCTTTCGCCTATTATGATAGAAAATCCGATGTTACCTATTTCGTGCAACATTTGCGTATACCTTCATAAACATTTATAGTCAATCTTTATATAACATTTTTCGCTTATTTTTAACCGCAGAATTCACCCTTGCCTTTTGTGGAAGAAAAGCTGGGATCCTTGCGCACCGCCAGTTAATTATAGCGGTCACTGTAAATTTATTATAACCGGATAATGAAAAAAAATAGAAACAGTAAATTTAAGCTTATTGCTATTGTTACAAAAGCGTCGAGACCTAATTATTGT